GATCATTGTTCAACATTTCTCTTAATTAATCCAGAGGCACTGGCTCAAGTTAATGCAAAACCAAATTTCACAAAAAAACCCCTGCAACGTTTGGATAAACAGGTGTTGCTTGACATTCCCAGACATGCAGGTTAGGTGGGTTTTAATTGAGTTTCCTGGGCCCTGAGGTCAGTGAATGAAAGAAAACACAAACATTCACCAGGTTTTCATGCAGCAGTGATGTTACACTCTCACATTTAAAGGTGCAATAACAAACTAATCAGACTGGGTCAAATTAATGATACCCAGGGGGAATCTGGGTGAAGCTAAGTGCTTTAATAAAAAAAACTGAAAATCAGAAAATCCTTTCCCATGTTTTATCCTATCCTGCTCCTATAATCCACATTATATCTATTTCGGAGTCTTATTTGAACATAAATTTAAGCAACTGAAGACACTAAAACTATGTAACAGAACCATTCTGTGCGAGGAGCTCCACACAATGCATCAGCTCATTTTCCTGACCATTATTTCTCCTCTGAGGTAGAGGTAGCGTGCATTCGTCAAATCTATGAACCGATTCATCAGCAGGCGCAGGAACAGTCTCGGTGTGTGATGAAGAGGGAAAAATCACTCATGTTGAGTTGATCACATTTCCATCTGTCGGCCTCTGGCACCCGGGGCCGCGCCCGCACAAAGACGCCACATCAACTTTGAGCCTTGTCAATAACCACGTCACTCACTGAGGCAGAGACGCTCACAGGAGGTGAGTTTCTGAATCGAATATTTCTGAAATGTTAAGACTTACGTTAGAGTACAAGATATATTACTTTAACGATGAGATACATTATTAACCAAAGGATTCAGCTTAAAAACTTTATTATCCAATAAAACAACACTTCAGTTGTTTTCACTGAAGACCACATATTTTCAAAACTCAACGTCGAATAAAAACAGTTTAAAATTCATTGGGATCATTTTTTTTTTTTATCTGACGTTTGTGACCTTTAGCTGTGATAGTGGCAGTGATGTTTAATGTGCTAAACAGAAAGGATGTTTCCTACTATCTGAAGAAAGTGACAGCGACTGAGTTTACAGTCTGATCGACAACAGAAGTGAATGTTGTCATGTTTAAAGAGGTAAAACACACGTTCAGTCTCTGGTTGAAAGAATGACAACATATTTACAGACTGAAAATTCTCAATTTCTTCGCTATTGAAGGATGAAGCTAATTAATTATTTTATATTCACAATTCTTCAGAGGGAAAGTGGAGATAATACCCAGAAATCACAATGTTGGCAATGATTTATAAATCTGTCGAGTGTGGGAGTAGAGATCCTTTCTCTTTAGGAAACCAGAGAAACTGTAAGATAGAGAAACACATAAGAAAAGACTTAAAATCACCAAACTGTGCTCCAGCATCTAAATTCAAACCACTCAGTGGAGCTCATACCTCTGCTCATCGGTCCTCTTATATTCAATCAAGCCAAATAACACACGCTCATAGATATCAGTCCCTTCAATAGCCTTGAATCTTTTAATCAAGATCCATGAATTATTCTCTAGGAAATCAGAGGAAATGTTAAAAAACGTCCCCACTCTTAAAATAAAAATGAAAAATTCCAGACATTCTTCACGTCCTACATCCTACATGTCGTTTCTGCAAAAATCCTTCTGACGCACAAACCAACCAACCAATAACAGACCACAAAACATCCAACCAATCTCTAACCATCTCATTAACCTGCTCACTAACCCCTAACCACCAACCAATAACCAGCAACTAACCACTAATGAACCACAAAACACCCAACCAACCAATAACCTGTTCACTTACCACCAACCAACCACTAAATATCCCACTAACCGCCAACCAACCAATAACATGTTCACTTACCACCAACCAACCAATAACCTGTTTACTAACCACCAACCAACCAATAACCTGTTTATTAACCACCAACCAACCACTAAATATCCCACTAACCACCAACCAACCAATAACCTGTTTACTAACCAGCCAATCACAAAACATCTTAATCTTGGAGGTATTTAAAACATGTGATACAAGTGGCACATTAAAAAAGTGACAATAACAATTTCTAGGTAACCATTTGAACATTTCTTTACATGTTGTGAAGAGTCTTAATTGTGTTGACGAATTCACTCTGAATGAATCTGAATGTGTTCATCATGTCCTACAAAAGAAGGACATTTTATAGATACATGATTTTTGTCAGCTCGTTTGTTTGTTGACTGTAAAAGCTGAGATCAGGAAACGGAGCGCTAAGTGTGAGATACTGTAAATGAAGTGGGATGAAAAAAACATTATATTCCCTAAGTGGAAGCATAAACGTCCCAGAGCCTCGATAATCACTTGATAATAAGTATTTTGAACCTCGTGTTTGTTTATAACTCAGGGATACAAATCCAATTTCCTGAAAATCAATGAAAGTCAATTGTTTTTACTGCAAACCTCCCTTTTAACTTTTTATTTAATCTTCTTTGAATTGTTTAAGGCAATTTTCACTGAGAAGCTTCCAAAGACTCAAATTGCTGCAGCAGCTGATTCAAGAGAATAAGAAATTTAAATTCTCATAATTGCAACGAAAGGATTAATAAATATGTAGAATAGTTTGTTTTTTTTGCCTTTTATCCTCCTCATCCTCACATGCAGCCAGTTTAAGCCCACTCTCTCCTCCTAGTGGCAGCTCTTTGATATGACCCTTCAGCTCAGACAGACATTACATCACCTCAACCCTCTCGTCTACACAGTGATGGTTACACAACAGCCACTATTATTTGGTGACCAGCTACAGTCGAAGTCTCGGTGAAGCCACCCACATCAACGCTCCCCTCCCGCCCGCCGCGTCGCCCGCGACCACCACCGGGCCGCCGAGAACATTTCCAAGGCCGTTCTGCTGAAAGCGCTCACCATCAGTATTATCTAATCAATATCGAATTGTTCCAAATGAAACGTAAGGGTGTGAGTCATTCTCCAGGTTTGTTTTGTGGTTCTGCCGCAGTGTGTAGGCTCATCTTTGTGATTCATACTCGATGTTGCCGGTGTGGAAGTTTTGCTGCAGGCTCACTGAACTGCCGTCGCTCTCCGGCTTCGGCCCCCCGAGAGGAAACTGCTAGAAAAGGGAAGGTTTGTTGTCTTTCCAGTGGCTGAGGTTGCACAGGTCACTAACTACTTTGTTCACAGGCGTTTTTGTTGTTGTAATATGCTAATCCGGTGCGGCTGTGGGAGGTGTAAGGTTGAGGGGCCTGCAGTGTTGCTGCCTGGCAAACGGATGAAGGGGAGTGCGGGCAGTGGCTGAGATGAAGGATAAATGTATGGTCAGGAAACACAGAGCGACACATATGCAGCTCTGTACAGTTAACTTTATAAACCTGCAAGACCAGTTCATCAAAAACAAAGAAATATTTGACATATCCACCAGGAAAGTGTTTTTCTGCTTTTTTGCTGCCGTCAGACCAACAAACTTCTGCAATTATCTATAAGAGAAGTTTCTGACCATATGGGTTTTTAATACAGTGACTCAGATAAAGTTGTATGTACCATTTACCAAACCATAAAAATGAATAATGGGATTAAAAAAAAGTCCAACATGAATATGAGTATTTCTGGAAACTATGCCGTGGTTATTCTAGTGTTCCAGCAATGAGGTAATGTTGACTGTATGGATGTTGAATTTCAAAGATACTTATATGGTTGTTTGTTCGATGATAATCGTGCAGGTTCATGACCCGGTGCGTGTGCACACAAGATCTATTCACTTTTTCAGTAAAGGTATAGTTCAGGCTGATTGTTTGATGCGATGCTTCCTCGCTGCTCACAACTCCACATTCACCATATCTGATAAAGACAGTGACTCCAGCTGAGGGAATCAGGAGGCCTCCAGCGAAAAGCTTAATCCTTTTTTTTGCCGCCATCAGACCAACAAAAATACAAACTATCCCGAGTATCATTCAAAAAGATATCAAGTAGGTCAAATAAGATTGTAGATACCATTTTCACTTCATGGTCTCACCCTAAATTGAAATAATTGCATAAATAAGGGATATAAGAAATTTTTAAAAGGTTTAAGGAGAAAAAATAAAAACCAGAGGCATGCTGGGTAAATCAGGAGTGTCGGCAGGCTCACAGTCAATTGAAAGCCTTTGTCTCTGGGCTTAAGGTGACTCCACAGTGGCGAGGAGCCGGGCGGCCTCGAAATATAAGCGTGGCGCCTCTGACAAATTGTCAAGGCGGCTCCCCCTGCTGGGCTTTCACTGCGCTCGCAACAAAAGAGACCCCCGGCTTTCTCCCGCTCTCTGTGCATCTCTCTCTCTCTCTCTCTGTCGCTTTCTCTGCCTCCAATCCATCACTCTCCCCCGTGTATAGCTCCCTCCCGTCATTCACAGAATGGAGGAACAAAGACAAAAGGTGCATTAGAACAGGAGAACAGTACGGGCCACCCAGGGACTCAATACAGCAGCAAGCAGCACGGCGAGGTGCCGCGAGAACAACGAGGCCGGGTGGCGGGGGCGGACAGTGTGTGTGTGTGTGTGTGTGAGAATCATACGACTCTTATAACAACTTAAAAGTTGTTTAATTTACTGCATTAAAAACCATTAGTGCACACACACACAAAGACATATCTTTAGGACACACACACACACACTGGGTCAGCATTAGCTCTGCTGGGGATGGGAGGGCTCCTGAAGAGAAATATTAATAAAAACAAAATGGACAGAAAAAAAAACAGAACGAGAACTCAGGAGGAGAATGCAGGACGAGAACGCAGGACGAGAACGCAGGAGGAGAACGCAGGACGAGAACGCAGGAGGAGAACGCAGGAGGAGAACGCAGGAGGAGAACGCAGGCCATTCTAAAGACTGAGGAGAAATTATGAAGAAGAACAAAACTAAGAAACCGATTAAAGCAAAGACTGAGAGGACTAGATAGAGAAGGAGTGAAAGACTGATATAGAGAGAAAGAGAGGGGTGGGGGGGTTCAGACAGAGTTCAGTCTTGTTAATAAGTGATTGCATTCAGGAGCGTCTCCGATTCAACACGTCAATAACGCAGACAAGCAGCTCTCGGTGCTTTCTTCACCCCCCCAGAGCAGGAAGACATGTCCACAGAATGAAAATGAAGGCGGCGTCCTTGGACTTTGACTGCGAGGGCATCTTCTTCTCTTCCTTCCTCCTCTTTGCCACAGGACGAATCTCTGCGTTTTGATCCCACCAGTTTGCCCTCTCTGTTCTGACATGCTGCAACCACGGATATCCACCGAGCTTCAGTAGGAGACGATCGCCCTTTGAGGAAATTGACGCCCACTCGAGCCCACAGGTGGAAAACGGTTGTTGTCGGGAGTTGTTAGTACAACGTGGACAATGAGTCACCCACAGACCTCTGACTCCTACTGTGTTTGTCGTCTGAGGATGAAGTCAATCGTGATTTTGAAATGTTACAGTGACGGACTACACATTTACACGCTCGGCCGGTTAGCTGAACTACACATCCAGAGGCTCTTTTACATTACAGGATACATTTCTGAAAAGGACATTATCGGTATTAAAATGCCTTTATTTTTAATGATGGGTCACGTTTGAGCTCTAACTCAACGACAACAAACAGCGTTAACAGCAGGAAGCAGCGAGCATAGTGTGTATGGATCAGAACTGACAGATTTAAAACCAAATAAATACATTTTTAAAAAGTGGATATACATACGAGAGCTCGGCAAAGTCAGTCATCTGGATTCTGGCCCGGCGAGCCAAGATCTCCATTAGGTGGAGGCCTTCATCTGTCTGGAGTCCACTGATGAGTCCAGTGACGGGGAGGGGGGTAAGAAGACGAGTGGAGGAAAGAAAGAAAATAAAAGAAGGGATGGGGAGAGACAGGGAGTAAAGAGGAAAAAAGAACAGGTTAATATTGTAAAATAAAAGATGCCAAAGTGTGCTTTGTATGATTATATCATTAGTTCCAAAATTGCAGCAGCAGTGCAAACAGACTATATATGGCAAAATCTGAAATTCAAATCGCACAGCCTACGTTCTTCTATCTTAGCAGGATCTGAGTCGACCTTTGCAACTGGACTTCACGCCAAACAGGTGTCGGTGAGGAAGACGTGCCGAGTGTGTGCATGAGTGACAACAGAGAATATTTGAGAGCTGGAACGGTTGGTGATTAACAGCCTTGCAAAGACAGACAGGAGCAGGATGTACAGGAAGTCACATGACAAAATGTTACCAACCAAAGCAGCAGCTGTTGTAAGGCTTTATATCTCCGTATATATACATATAATAGTATATTTGATTGTCTCTGCATAAAAGTTCCTGACATCCTGTGATTTTTCCACAGTTTGAGTCACAGACAGAGCAGAGCAGCTGCTTCAGATCCGACACAGGTGATCGCTCTGCCTGCAGATCCCTGAGCGCTGATCGACGTCACAGAGCTTTTACACTAGCTCTGCAGCGTACAGTGTGTGATCCCTCTCAGATACTACAGCCTGTAACAGTGGAGGGTTTTTTTTCTCCTCCTCAAATTAAGAGCATACAAGAGGTGATAAAAAAAAAACTGTCCAGCGTAAAGCAGCCGAGTTAGACTGTCACTTCTCAGATTTGAATACCTGGTGCCTCTGCAAAGCGTCAAACAACAAGAGCAGCTGAAATAACTTCTGTGGCGCCACCATGAGGTTGGCACTTGTACTTCTAGTTGAACGTCTGAACAGCACTCGGGTTGTCAATGTGTTTGGTGCAGATGTTCGTGGGCTCAGATGATGAATCTCTCAGACTTTGAAGATTGTACTGAAGAGTGCAGAATGTAGTGACATCTAGTGGTGAAATTGCTTGGTGCAGCTGAACAGCCCCTCACCTCACCCTCCCCCTGCAAACATGACAGAGAACCTGTGGTGGCTTCAGTTGTCATAGAAAATCAAAAGGTTTAGTTTGTGCAGTTTGGGCTACTGTAAAAAAACATGTCTGCCTCCGTAGAGAGGAGCCGCCTCTAAAATATAAAGTAATTAAGTATAGAGGGCCCATTCTAGGATAAGGAAAACAACAATTTGTACAATTTATTGTGGCTGGGACGACTGCGAAAACTACATTAAAAGCTGTAGACACTGAGACGACTCTATTTAAAAAAGCCAGGCATCGCATAAGAGGTTCTTCTGCTACGAGGCCAACGAAGAGTCTTTTTCTTCCTGGTTACAAAGTCTGGAAGCGGCTTTTGTCTCACGTTGTGGTTGATGTTGCACTTGGCTGTCTCGACGAGAGATCTGACACAATGCGAACTGTCAAGGACAACTTTGGTGTTCTTCTGAAGTTCAGACATCTCACGGAAAATGTCAAGAGGCACTTTGAAGAGTCACTGTGAAAGGGTTAGAGAGGAATCCGCCGAGTTCACTGGAGACCGACGTCTGCAGTGCAAAAGTGACAGCGGACATCTTACACCTTCCACTTCACCTACGATCAGAGACACGCAGCCTCTGAGCCCGTTTCATGAAGTTACAGGAGTCGTGGCTCGATGTATTGGCATCTGCTACTTCCTGTCAAAGTGTAGCTTCTGCTGACTGATGATTACTCCAAGCTTAAGCAAATGATAAACCTGAGAAGAGTTATTACAGAAATCACTGTTTTATTTTGTAAATACTTCTGTTATACTCATTTTAAAGAGCTTTCCCTGCTCTCGTAGAAACTGTCTTAAAGCTTCAGAAAACTGTTCTCAGTCTGCTTCTTTTCTTTGAATAAACATTTGGACAGAAACAGAATTTGTGTATTTTTTTTCTCTGTACACCAGCCCAATGGATTTTAAATGAAGCCATATGGTTTGAATAGTACAGATTTAAAATCGAAAAAAGGACCTGCACCTTCCATTCTACGAAAGTTCATAGAACGTAATCCAGCTGACTACGAAACACCACTTAAAACACTAGGAGGGTGCACATACGGTGCCAATGCTAGTGCCCCATCTCGCCATGTCAAAGCAGTGTTTCCAAAACTAAATAAAAAAAAGTGTTTCACTTCTCACGACAACAGGATCTCTACCTTGGTGTTTTGCAGTTCTATCGCCCATAAAGTTTTTACTGTCCACACTGACACTTTCACCTCAAACCTTCGCAGAACTAATCAATACTTCCTCTGCGCCATTTCCATGTCAGATTATTTGTACTCACTCTGTGTCTGTGATAACGTAACCGAAGACATCATCGTCAGCCTTCTTCCTGCTGACGTCCAGCTGAAGTTCTGGAACATGCATCGTCTTCTTGTGCGGCTCGTACACAAGCGCAGCAGGAGGGGGCGGCACCTCCTTGATCCAGCCCTGCACCTCCGACACCTCCTCAACAGATTGAGTGGCGTCCTTCTTCTGCACCGCTACTCCAACCTGGCTGGTCCGACTCTGGACGTTCTCCGACCCCACCGGTTGGCCTCTGGGTGTCTCCATGGCAACGTCATTCCAGTTTCTTGCTGACGGGGAGGCGTTGAGGGACGTTTTGTCCAAGTAGGCGAGAAGTTTGGTAAGCAGGCCTCCACTCTCAGCCTGAGAAACAAGTCAAAGAAATGAGTACAGGGTCGTACAGGGTCAGCCAACAAAAACTGTATATGACACAAGAAAACTAATCTGCACGTTATAATTTCAATCTATTATCATAATTAAGTATGGACCTTGATTTACATTCACCTTTGTACAGTAGCGGACCTGCAGGTTGTGGGGCTCATTTCCTGTCTCAAACAGAATCTTAACTGCTCTTCCTCAACAATTTAAAGTACAGTAGTAGTAGTTTCTTCCTACTGAGTGATGAAGGCTTACCGTGTCCTCTTCAGCATCCGTGTGGCGCTCTGTTGGCACAAAGACATAAATTCATTCATTGTGTGTCAGAGAGAATAAGGAGAGGAATGAAATGTTCTAATCAAACAGCCTCAACTGATTTGTGAAAGAAGTAGTTTGGTTTTTCACATGTTCTTCTACTAAATGCTGCTAAAACATCAGAATTCGTACAACAACTATATACTTCCAAGTTCCTAGATAGACCAGGGCACAATTCTGCTATGAGTTAGGGACATTGAACCATAGTTTAAACATTTTGAGTTGGAGTGGTCTCAGTGGACACTGAACCAGTAACACTGGCCGTGTTTGTTCAGAGCTGAACAAGACACCTATTTATTGTCACATAGATTTTTATGTTAAACCCAAGAGACAAGCTATTTGAACACTGCTTTTTTGTTTAATCCAACCTTCACAATTATGCATGTACTATGGACTTGCTTTCCAGCTTTTGCTCAATAAAATAACAAAATAATTCACCATAAAATTACCTTGAAGCTCTGCCGGCACTACAGGAGTGCTCCCCTGAGGTTTCAGCGTCGGAGCATTCGCCAACAGCTTCTCCTCTTCCTCATCTCTGGCAGCTGCCTCCTCCTCTTTTTCTTCTTCCTCATCACTCCTCAGCTCTCCCTCCAGGTCTCTTGGTCCAGTTCTAGCCGGAGTCAGGCCCCTGTTTACACCTTTGTCCTTGTCCACCACCTGCAGAGCATCAGCTATCAGGCTGGACAGCTGATCCAGGTCATGCGGCGACAGGTTGTCCACGTCCACATGCTGCCTCCCAACGTTCTTCAAAACTTTCTCAATGAATCTCTCTGGAGGAAACACAGAGGTAAAATCATCAAGTCAGACAGAGACAAGAAAAACCACAGCAGCAATGGTTGTGTGACAACAAAGCTTCAGCTCGTTGTTTCTGCTTCACTTCCACAAAACGTTTTGGGTATTGTTAAAAGTTTTAGATTTTATTGCTGCTGTCAGATAAGGTTCAAGTTAAAATAAAAGGTGCAATGCATCACGATGTTTGGTGTGAAACTGTATTGGGACTTTGTGAACATTTAAATGGTCATTATTTCTTTAGGGTTTTTAGTATTGACAACCACTCAAAGCTCTTTACAGTACAATATGGATATCCACCCATTCACACACACACGAGCACTATCTCTGTCACACATCATTCAAACACTGCCAGCACAGCCGTCAGGGGCATTGTGGGGTTCAGTATCTTGTCCAAGGACACTTCGGCAATGAGGAGAGATGGGGATCGAACCACCAACCTTCTGGTCAGAGGACAACTTGCTCATTGTGTTTCTTCTGGTTATTTTCTGAACACTGATGCACAAAGGTGACATCTTCATTGGCTGCTTTGAGGAGTTAAAAGTTCTCTGTTGATTAGTTTCCCTTCACAGACGTGTCAGTGTAAGAATCAGTGAACAAGACGTGAACTGTGGGAGATGAGTCACTGCAGGAATGAACCAGAGGGGGAGAAGCAGAGACTCTGTTTCTGTTCACAGGAAGTGAAACTATTCTACAGTCACTGGCAGCGGGTGAAATGGCGCAGCAAGAAAATCAACTGGACGGAGAAAGA